AGGATTGCTTGAGTCCAGGAGGTCAAGGCGGCAGTGAGCTATGATCTCACCACTGCAATAGAGCAAGAGTGATGATCTACCTGCCTATTTAAATAAATTAAAGCAAAATTTATTTATTTAAATAAATTATATTAAACAAATAAACAGAAGCCAAGGCAGTCAGGTTATAAGCGGCACTCTGGTATTATGAACCAGAAGAAATGGGTCTATCCATGTTACTCATTTATAATGCCTAGAAATCTTGCCAGAAGTCAACTAGCTAGTTAGTAACAATACCTGCACTAGAACCCAAGTCTCTCAAAATGGTACGTTTCTATACCACAATCTTTCTCTTTTTTTTCTGAGACAGAGTCTTGCTCTGTCACCCAGGCTGGAGTGCAGTGGCCCAATCTCAGCTCACTGCAACCTCTGCCTTCCAGGTTCAAGTGATTCTCCTGCCTCAGCCTCCTGAGTAACTGGGATTATAGGCCACTGCCACCACGCCTGGCTAATTTTTGTATTTTTATTAGAGACGGGTTTTCAACATGTTTGTCAGGCTGGTCTCAAACTCCTACTTCATGATCCACCTGCCTCAGCCTCCCAAAGTGCTGGGATTACAGGCGTGAGCCATCATACACAGGCCTCACAATCTCTTTTATCTCAATCATCCAAGTTATTGAACTGCAAATAGAAGTTGTAGGAGAGGCCAAGGACTGTGGCTTAAGTCTATAATCCTTGCACTTTGAAAAGCAGGAGAATCACTTGAGGCCGGCAGTTCAAGGCCAGCCTGAGCAACACAGAGAGATCCCATCTCTTTAAAAAAAGGAATTGTGGGAGAACACAGTGCGGACTCAGTACTGGGAAGACAGCATGGTTACTACACTATTCTAGGTCTGAAAGATGGTCTTCCTGCCAATGCAGAATGGATTCCATCCAAAGACAGAAAGAGTTGCCTACACGAGACACCAGCAAAACTGAAATTCCCATGAACCACACCATACCTCTAGTATCAGTGTTCTCAATCTCCAGGGAAGACTGGAGAATGAAGGCACCAATAGGTTAACGGTTAAATATTTTCACAGGTCATTTGCAATTAAAGTTCCTAAGATTTACCTTGACAGTTTTTAAAGTTCTATTTTTATAACAATTTTTTTTAGAAAAGGGATCTTACTATATTGCCCGGGCTAGAATGTAGTGGCTATTCACAGGCACTATGATAGGGCACTACAGCCTCAAACACCTAGGTTCAACTTCCTGCCTCAGTCTTCCAAGGAGCTGAAACTACAGCCACATGCTACCATGCATGGCTTCAAAGGTCTAAAATCTCTAATACTGGTTTTATAATCAACAAAGAACCATGAATTGGCAGTTAACTGAATGTATAAAATTGTCTATAAATCTAGAAGTAGGGAGGTGAAACGGAATAACATGACTCACTGGAGTTCTCTTTGCCAAATTTTAGAGTGCTTACCACTAGGCTTTAAAAAAAGGAAAAATGGCCAGGCACGGTGGCTCACGCCTGTAATCCTAGCACTTTGGGAGGCTGAGATGGGTGGATCACCTGAGGTCAGGAGTTCAAGACCAGCCTGGCCATCTTGGTGAAACCCCAACTTAAAAAAAAAGAAAAAAG